GAGAGAGAGAGAGAGAGAGAGAGAGAGAGAGAGAGAGAGAGAGAGAGAGAGAGAGAGAGAGACAGACAGAGAGAGATATCTTACTCACCATTGCTGTCGACTCTCACACATATTCCCTCGTAGCACGGCGTCGCCACGTCCCTGTGTATCCGCGACCGCACTGTCGCCGGCGTCGACAGCGACGACGCCGGCGTTGGCGATAGCTGACTTCCCGCTCCGTCATCGCCATCGTCGTCGTCGCTCTCTCGTAGCTCCGGCAGCAGCCTTCTCGCCTTCTTAACGAGAAATGCTCTCGGCATTGTGAATCAACTTCAACAACATCGCACTCCCGTCGTCCGCCGACAACCGTAGATCGTCACTCCGTGCCGACGACGCCATCACGACGTCGCCATCGCCGACGACGACACTGGATCCGGATCTCGCGGCCAGCCGGATTCGAGCGCGGACGATATGTCTTTTCCTCTACTGCTGCGCGTCGTCAGTACGTCGCCCCGGCCGCCATGATGCTCTGCATTTTCAGCAACAAGTGAGCGCACGTCCAACGTGCCAGGGCAGTGCAGAAACAGCAGCAGCGAGCGCCTATAGACGCACACAGAGAAAGAGAGAGAGAGGAGGGGAGAGGGGGAGAGAGAATCGATTTTCGGCTTCAGTATCTCGCGTGTGTCGTGCGTGCGCGCCGACGGAATCCTGCATCCGCCGCTCCGCCGCTTGACTGACCGACCGCCGACACACGCGCACACAGGCCGGGTGCAGCTGCGCGCGTGTGTGTGTGTGTGGCGGGCACGTGAGGGGAGGATGAAGTAAGGGGTGGAGGAAGAAAGGAAGGGAGAAAGGGAGGAACGGAGGAACAGAGGAAGGGAGAAAGGAGGAACGGAGGAAGAGAGGAACGGAGGAAGGATGGAAGGGAGGAAACGAGGGAGGAAGGGAGGAATAAAGGGATGACGACTACTGCACGTTGGTTCCGCGTGAAGGAGAAACACAAGGAACACGAGTGCTTCTTGCCAGGAGTGTCTGTTACCGTAGATACTAGCCGAGGATGCTGGATAAAGATGCTACACTGGATGCTGCTGTGGTTGCTACGGCTGCCCGTGATGCTACTGTGAAGGATGCTGCGAAGTATGATGCTGCGGAGGATGCTGTGGAGGATGATGGATAAACATGCTACGCTGGATAGTGCCGTGGTTGCTACGGCGGCCCGTGATGCTGCTGCGAAGAATGCTGTGGCTACTAACCGAGGATGCTGGATAAGAATGCTACGCTGTGGCCGTAGTTGCTACGCAGGATGCTGTAGAGGATTCGCTGCAAAGGATGCTGTGGATGATGCTGCAAAGGATGCTGAGCGGGGATGAAGGATGCTGCGAAGGATGCTGTGGAAGATGCTGCAAAGGATGCTGCAAAGGCTGCTGCGAAGGCTGCTGTGGAGGATGCTGCGAAGGATGCTGCGAAGGAGGATGCTATGGAGGATGCTGTAGATGGATGCACGCGGTCGTCACGGTAGAATGGAGGCGGGAGGTACGGCACGTGTGCCCGCTCTTGTTATCACGGTGACGGTGTAACAAAGACACGCACCGATCCGACCCCGCCACGCGGCGCGCTGCCTGCCCCCGCTTAATGTCAACAGCAGGCCTCCAGCGGGGACCGGAGAGGGAAGGGGGCGCCTCTCTCACTCTCGCCCTCCCTTTTTCTCTCTCTCTCTTTCTCGCTCTCGCTCTTTCTCCCTCTATCTCTCTCTCTCTCTCTCTCTCTCTCTCTCTCTCTCTCTCTCTCTCTCTCTCTCTCTCTCTCTCTCTCTCTCGTTCTTGCTGTCTCGCTCGCTCGTTCTCCCTTGCTCTCTTTCACTCTCACTCTCTTTCATGCATGCGTGCGTGCGTGCGTGCGTGCGTGCGTGCGTGCGTGCGTGCGTGCNCTTCTCTCTCTCTCTCCTCTCCTCCTCTCTCTCTCTTCGTCGTCTCGTCTCGTCTTCTCTCGTCGTACGGTACGGTGTCGCGGTAACGGGGTCGGCTCTCTCTCCCTCCTCTTCTCTCTCTCTCCTCTCTCTCTCTCTCTCTCCTCTCTCCCTCTCTCTCTTTCTCGCTCTCGCTCTTTCTCTCTTTAACGGGGAGTGGCAAAGGAAGGGGCAACATCGCTCCTGCTTCTCCCCTTGTTATATGTGTTCAGACAACAAGATACAAGTGCTTCTTGATTTTGTGTGAGCATTTCTTGTCTGTACTAATCTTGCCTGTGATATTCTTGCCTGGTCTATTATTGCCTGTGATTTTTTTGCCTGGACTATTATTGCCTGTGATTTTTTTTGCCTGGACTATTGTTGCCTGTGATTTTTTGCCTGACATTTTTTTACCTTAGCTATTGTAATCTGTACCTATTATTGCCTGACCATTTTTGCCTGAGCTATTGTAATCTGTACCTATTATTACCTGTGATTTTTTGCCTGACATTTTTTTACCTGAGCTATTGTAATCTGTACCTATTATTGCCTGACCATGTTTTGCCTGAGCTATAGTAATATGTGCCTATTATTGCCTGACCATTTTTGCCTGAGCTATTGTAATCTGTACCTATTATTGCCTGACCATTTTTTGCCTTAGCTATTCCTACCTGCTCCTGCCTGAGCTATATTTATTCCTGGCAATATATTCTCACCCGGCATTTTTCTCGCCGCACTACGCCAAACGATGCGCAAGCAATATCAGCAGCAATCTATATAACGAGTGTTATTATAAGGGGTTTTTCCCGCGCGCGCGCGCAGGCGACCTATATAAGTACCGTTATAAATGCATCCTCCCCCCCCCTCGATTCTCGTTTCCCACTCGCCCCCGGCGGGTCTCCTGGTACTGATGCTGCAGCTGCGGACGGATGCAGTGCGCCTGAAGTCAGGCACGAGTGGTACCGCTGTTGCCGCCGAGAGAGATGAGGGAGAGGGGGAAGAGGGGGAGGGCGGAGGAAGAGATCGATCAATAGAGCGCCTGTTCTCTCGCTCAATAGAAATATCTGCGCTTATAACGGGTAATTGCTCCGGTTTTCAAAGGCGTCGCCGGCCCAGGTTAGAGGACCGGGGACAGGACAGGGGAACAGGGGACAGGGCAGGGGGACAGGGGACAGGACAGGGGGACAGGGGACAGAACAGGGAAACAGGGGACAGGACATGGGGACAGGGGACACGGCAGGGAGACAGGGGACAGGAAAGGGGGACAGAGGGCAGGACAAGGGGACAGGGGACACGACAGGGAGACAGGGGACAGGAAAGGGGTACAGAGGGCAGGAAAGGGGGACAGGGGACAGGACAGGGAAACAGAGGGCAGGACAGAAGGACAGGGAACAGGACAGGGAGACAGAGGGTAGGACAGGGGGACAGGGAGCAAGACAGGGGACAGGGGGACAGAGGATAGGAGTCGTGGCGTGGGGGGCGTGGTGGAGGGAGGTAACACAGCCGCCCGCCCGCCGGCGGCACTTTGATGTCGCTGCGTTCGTGGTCGGCGATTATACCGAGCGGTCGGTAAACAATAGAACAGCGCGTAAACGCGCGTGAAACAACTTGAAATTAACGACAACCTAGTTGAAGAATAGTTGGCAAGCAGTTTTATTTATCACGTTTGCGTTTACAGAGATTCTGTATATATATATATATATATATATATATATATATATATATATATATATATATATA